ACAATAGCTAACATTATTAAGTGCTTCTTACATGTCAGGCACTATGCTAAATACACTATATGTTGTAACAGAGTGCATTTTTTTCCAGATAGGAGCCACATTATCTTTCTTACTACATGCCCTTCCATAATACAACATTGTAAGTCCCCTGTTAAGTGTTAGTATCTACTTGCCTTCCTATTGACTGGAAATATTTGTGATTTGACAAACAGAGTTGGAAAGAAATGATGGTATATGAGTTTCCAAGGCTGGCTCAGTTTTTGTGTGCTTAGAAGTCCTGTGATTCAGGCTATTACAAGCAATGATGCAGAAAGCATTCCTTCATATGTGTCCTTTCCAAGAATTACTCAAGTAAAGCTTGAAGTGGGATTCCTGCAGCGTGGGCTATGTGTGTTGTAAATGTAACCAAATACTGCCTAGACTTCCAGTCTCCACAATAGTCCTAGGCTTTTAGTCATCAGACGTGTTAGTGAACAAGTCCTCAGATGATTCCACCCTTAGTCATAAATTATCCCCAGACTTTGAAAAGCAAACACAAGTCTTTCCTGCTGTGTTCTGTTCAAACTCCTGACCCCCGACCCTGTGAGCATAGCAATGTTGTTTTAAGCTGTTAAGTTTTATATAATTTGTTATGTGGCAATGATAACTGGAATGCATGTGATAACTTTTTAAAGTTCTAACAATTATTTTTACTTAGGCAGATTATTAATCCTATTATCACGTGTAAAAAGTGCTTTTTAATGGTCTCTATTAACTAGTAAACTAAAAACTATACAAATGGTCTCTAGTAAACATCATCACTGTAAATGTTTCCATTATATTCATGACCCTCTACAAGAGTTTGTTTGTTTGTTTGTTTGTTTGTTGTTTTTTGAGGAGGTACAGCAATGGGACAAATATTTAGTTACTTAAAAACATTCATAAAAAATACCCTATATCCAATTTTGTATTCTACTGATAAAGCTATAATTTTGTCAGTTTGTCGCAGGGAAAATGGATAAAAAACACAGCAGCAGAAAGAATATTTGGAATAAGTAAACTGTTCCTAAACTAAATGACACCTCTACCTCTCAAGCAGTTTATACACAATTTACTGAAATACACCTGGGATTAGATGATTTTTGTTCAAATTGACACTTGGGAAAATAAAATCATAATTCTAAGTCAGCCCTTTCAGATAAATTACACATTTTATTACATTTTTTTTCTATCTAGAAAAACAGATCTAAGTATGCATTTAGTCAAACTTATATGTTAAATATTGGTAAATGACATTTAATCATCGTTCATTGATAGGTACATAATACCTCCAACACTGGGTACACATTTATCCTTTCAATAGATTAAGCAAAGTCTATACTTGGTATCTCCAAAAGATTTAAAGTTGACAAGTCATTAAGTGTATAGAGACTTCATTGTGGGAAAGAGACTTACTTTCACCTGCCTGGATTTGAGAAGTTCTTTCCTCCAAGTTTTTGTTACCTTAATATGACCAAACATTTCCACTATAACTACTTTTTTTCAAATCATCAGCACATTCTTGAATCAATGCAAAATCTTTGAAAAATCTTCTTGCATCCACTGTTACATCATCAATTGTATCTCTATCAAAAGGCTAGGATTTTTTTTTTTTAAGCTGAGCCATTTTGCCACCTGTTGGCATCTCAGCGGCTGCTCAGCTTGGGCCAGGAATCGAACTGCTGTTGCTCAGAGCTCAAACTCTTGAGCGAGCTCTTAACCAACTGAGCCACTCAGCTGGCCCTAAAAGGCTAGGATTTTTAAAGCATACATTTTTATCACATAAATCAAGTAATGCTACTTTCACTGCTTATAACTTCCCAATAAAATCCTAAGGACAATAGGAAAATATAATCCCAATTTTTACCCTGTCCTAAGGGCCTTCAGATCTGACTTCATTTCAGACCTCTCTCCTCTTCACTCATGAAATCCCAGCTCTGTATGCTGTCCTTCTGTCCCATGTGCTCACCAAACTCATTCTACACCCAGGACTTTTGCAGTTGCTGGTCCCTCTATCCAAAGACTCTGTTCCCAAACATTCATTCAGATCAGTGGCTCCTTCCTATCATTCATTTTGCAACTGAAATGTTAGTCGTCATTTCAGAGATTTTTCAGATATCATACTCGAATATTGCTTTACAAACTCCCACTTTAATTCATTCCCTATCAACCCACACTTTTTATTCTTTTCTGCTCCTCAACTGTGGTCTATAATTACACTATACATTTGTTCATTTTCTGTTTATTGTATAACTCTAGAATGTAAGTTTCATGACAGCAAGCCCCTTATCTGCCTTTCTTTTCCTCAGTAACAAATAATCATTTGTTCAATGAATGAATGATTGAAAACACAAAAAGCAAAAACAAAACCTGATTTTGAATAAAAGCAGTGTGGAAATAGAATGGAGAAAATGGCTAAATTAATACAAACTCTAAATAGGGTTATAATGATGACATTGACATAGCAAGCGATATTTTCTTTCCATACAGAGAACTAAAATTTGATTGCATGTTAGCCTAAAATAATCAGAACATTTAAATTGCCTGTCTTTTGGAAAGTCAGGACTGTTACAAATAGTTCACTTTTATCCCTGAATTCTCAACTATAAAGAAATTTTGCAATGATTAAATAAGAGCCATTGAAATTACATATATTTACATAAGTGTTTTGGATTGAATTATATCCTCTAAAAAGATATGGTCAAGTCTTAATGACCAGTACCTATGAATATGAATGAATATGACATTATTTTTTTTTTCTCATTACGGTTTTAATTCACATTTTACTTGCAGTAACAATGTTCAATATCTTTTCACATTCTTATTTACCACCTATATATTGTTCGCTTTTATGAGTCCTTTATATACTCTAGACACAAGTCTTTTGTCCGATATGTGACTTGCAAATATTTTGTCCTGGTGCACAGCTTTTTCATTCTAATAAGGTCTTTCGTAGAGTGAAGGCTTTTAATTTTTTTTTTAATTGAGTAACAAGTGTGTTTTTTCCAGGACCCATCAGCTCCAACTCAAATTGCTGTTCTTCAATCTAGTTGTGAGGGTGCAGCTCAGCTCCAAGTCCAGTCACTGTTTTACTCTAGTTGTGGAGTGCGCAGCCCACCATCCCATGCGGGAATTGAACCAGCAACCATATTAAGAGCACGTGCTCTAACCAACTGAGCCATGTGGCCGCCCACTGGCAGCTCAGTGGCAGCTCAGCTCAAGTTGTTGTCTTCAATCTAGTTGTGGAGGGCACAGCTCACTGGCCCATGTGGGAATTGAACCAGCAAACTTGTTGTTCAGAGCATGCACTCTAACCAATTGAGCCACCTGGCTGCCCCAAAGGCTTTTAATTTTGATGAGATCCAATTGATCAGCTTTTTCTTTTATGGATTTTGCTTTTGGGGTTAAGTATAAGAGCTGTTTGCTTTGTCCTAAAGCCCACAGTGATTGTCTTGGAAAGTTGAAGAGTAAACTGACTAAAGAAATGTAGGGATGCTGCCCAGAACTGAGGGTCCACTTGAGATTCAAAGGTAGGTGAGGGAAGTGGCAAGGCACTTTCTACCCACTAGGGGGGATACTATGGGGATAGAAACTTCTTTTCTTCTGGCTCCAGTTACATGGGCACAGCAGATGCTCATCTTGGCAGTTTGACTAAAGGGCTAGGCTTCCCTTCCCCAAAAGTACTCATAGACTTGGAAAGAATTGTCTGCTGCTTTTTGTTCAACCACACTTCAACAGTGGGCTTTCAATGTGTCATTATGACTTACTTATAACCACTCCGTAAAGATAGGTTGTTATTATCCCCTTTTATAGCAGATACAACTGAGGCCCAGAGAAGGGCTAGGACTGAACACAAATCTGATACCCAGAGTAATGGTTATTCTCTTCTACCAACTAACTTGAATTTTCACCATTACTTATTGCTTGAGATCAGTGGTTCTCCAAGGATGGTCCATGAACCCGCACAGGGATCCTGAAGACCTTTTCAAAAGGTCTTCAAGGTTGAAGCTATTTCCCTAATAATACTAAGACAATAGTTACCTTTTTTGCTGTGTTGACATTTTAACTAATGTCAATTGCTGATAGCATGAATTAAGGCAATGGTACCAACTTGTACTGGTTGTCATTGAGTTCTTCAACCAACCTCAAGCATCCACAGGGGAAAAAATAACCAGTTTCACACTAATGTGTAATTAAATAGGAACACAAAAAGATTTTCTTCTGCAAACCAAAATAAGATGGTTGTCTTGAGGTCAAGCAGTTCTGCAATTATTTGAGTTGCAAGCTGAACTGTCCTCCCCACATGGAATACAATTTTTACTTGAGAGAATGACTAACAAACTAGGTATTCAACCTAGGTATCTGGCAGACATTTTCCTAACAAATGAACAAAGTGAGCCTGTCACTTAAAGAAAGCAACTGACAATATTTACTGCTAATGATAAAACTGGAGCTTGTGAGTGAAAATTAGAATTTTGGGAAAAAATTCATTTTCCCCTCTGAGCTTGAGTTTTCTAACATTTAAACACTTTTCCAATGATATCAGTGGTAATATTAATAAATGTGGGTTTTGATATTGCATGAATATATGCGTTTACATGAAACTTAGAAGAGCTACATAACTCAGCAAACTAGTAGTTTTCAAGGGACCGGTGTGAGATGGTACTTATTTGTACCATCTCACACCGGTCCCTTGAAAACTTACAAATAAGCATGGGTCAAAGGGCCATTCAAAGTGGAAGATCAATCAATGGGTTTGCATGACAGAGTATGAACACTTCATTGATATGTTTTCAGATTTCATATTGCAAGTAATTTTTTTGCATTATATGAAATTTTATTATTTGGGTTGATGGTTTTTATACATAATTACAGTCAGAGGGTGATTTTGCAGATTACTTGTCAATGAATTTGTTTTTCTTGATACATGTCTTAGAGATTCCTATAGCTCTATATCTAGATTGCTATTCTCAGAAGACTGTTTACATTTCTTGTTTGTAATCAGAAATCAGTTTGTGGTTGAACTGAAAACCCGTAAAAAAAGCATATTCTTTTGCAGTCCATTCATAGTTATCTTGAGAAAAGATACAAACAACTTGCTGAAGAAATACCCGACTGTGTCTGAGGATTCATGTAGCGTGAGAGCTGTCCTTTTCATCTTATCGACTGCATGTACGTTTGCATTCTTCTTTACTAGAAATGCCACCATTTGCTGTTTACTTTCATGTACAGCAAGTAAAAGTGGTGTGAGATCATGCTTGTTCCTTGCTCCCCTTTGTGCTTTGTGGAACAGCAGCTTCATTGCTATCGCTGTGTTCTGAGCAATGGCTGCATAGTGGACGTTGCCATCAATGTCCATTCTATTTGGACCAACACCACGCTCTAACAAAATAGTTGCATATTCCTCTTCCTGGCACTGGATGGCCTTCATTAGAGCTGTCCTGTTTTGTCACAGAGCTTTGACATTTCTGTCTGCTAGGAGAGTTACCACTCCTGGATGGCCACTGGCACAGGCCAAATAGTGGGCAGTCCTTGATCAAGTAAGTCTCCATGTTATTATGGGGTCTTGGTCAGCATCACCAAGTTTTTTTCTTGCAGCAACATTTTCATTGAGTAGTAAACTATTGTTAAGGCTTCCAACACATGGTGGCTCCAGGACTGGCCTAGTAACAGGAGTGCTCAGTAGCGCGTTGTTGTTCGGTCATAAGAAGTTTGTGATGAGACAAATAGTTAACAGTAGTAGGTTTGTGAGCTGGCAGGATGGGACAGGCAAAGGGTTGACAGGAGCGAGCTTGTAAGCAGGCAGGAACGAGGTTAAACATGAACCGCTTGGCTCTGACTCCCCTGGCTAGCACTGCACCTGCAGGCTGACAAGCACCTTATATCCATCATAGGTGGGAACAGAACAGTTCCCAATCGCCATGGCAACCCCCTGCACACTAACAAACACCCATCATAGATGGGAACAGAACAGTTCCCAATTGCACCAGCAACCCCTGCAAGCTGACATCCATCATAGATGGGAACAGGACAGTTCCCAGCAGAAGACAATTGTAACAGCAGCCCCACTGCAAGCTGACAAGCACCCTACATCCTGCTTAGAAAAGTATAAAACTTGAGCTAAACAGAAACCCGTCACAGCTCTCCCTCTCAGACTGCCCTGGCAAAACTCCTTCTGTCAGTTCCAAACAACTTTCTCTCTCTCTCTCTCTCTCTCACTGCCTGACTTGCAATAAAGCTTTCTCGCTCTCCCATTTTGTAGTCTCGTGAATTCTTCTCACGTTCTGCAAATGACCAGGGGTTAATTCTATGCCAATACAGTTTGTGGCTGATTTCTGCTAGCCTTTCATTAGCCTCGTATAGGTTATTTGCCAAGAATGGGATAACTGTTAATTCCTCTAGGTAGAGTTGCTTATATTTTTCCAATTCTACTTTAGTAGAATATTCAGAAGTGTTCGTTTTGGAGACTTCACATTCCAGCTTGTTAATTCTGAGTTCCACTTGGCTTATTATTGAAGCATTATTATTCTCTCTTAACTTCTCTTAAGTTTTTTTTGAAATGCTGCTTGTTCCTGTACAAATAGATTGACTTCTTTTAATGTGTCCACTCTATCTGAGGCAGAAAGATGACCTAGGGACACTGACAACCCCCTCGAGGGTAGGATGTGAGGTGCCTCACTGGTTACACAAGTAACAAGTGACTGTCCAGTACCTGCAGCTGGAGGAAAAGAACCAGTTTCATCCAGCTAGGCTGACCTCTATGACCATGACCTGACCTTTAACTAATTGTTATGTCATTATAATCTCATTTTCATTGTGGTCACTGACTTCCACTTCCACCATGCATCTGACACCCATGACAGTTTCGGGAAGCCAAATAAGAAAAATTGGGAAAAGGAAGGTCCTGCCCAGGGAGAGGAGATGAATGAACCAAGTCAGTGGGGTGTCACCAATTCCTGCCCAGGAGGGATAAATATCCCTGATGACGACTTCCTCAGGGGGTCTTGTTCTCTGAGTTCACACACACTTTCAAGGGTGTGTACTTTCATTTTCAATAAATCACTTTCACTTTCCTACATCTGTCTTGCTCTTGAATTCTTTCTTGCACAGAGACAGGGACCCAGTCACAGCTGCTCCAGGTTGAGTCCTCTGTTGGCCATCCCCGGGAGCCTCCTGCGGCATATTCTGTCACGCTGTTTCTTCAATCTCCCATTTATAGTGCTCTACTGCACTGTATTCTACCATATTCATTTGTGTATGACTTGAGGCTTACCGATTCTTGTTTCAACTTCTTGTTTTTATTTTCTAGTTTTTCACCTCTCTTTTGTATTCCTTTTATAGATGCTAACTCCTATGGAGGAAATTGCTTATTTTTTTTCAACCAGATGTAGAAGTTTTGCTGTAAGATCATCAATCTTCTGTTTTAACCGATTTATCTGGATGCCCATTTCAATTTGATGGGGTTTTAAATCTCCAGGGAAACTAAATTCTCCATTTTCATATTCTTTTTTATTTATTGTTAGTTTCAGGTGTACAGAACAATGCAATAGTTACCCTTTTCACCCTCAC